AAACATTGAAATCTTTTTTTCCTTACAGAGATTGATTCCGACTAGCGTGGATAATTTCCTTTGCTGCGGGGCTTCTTATCGAGCCATGAGAGACGCTGTAGCTCAAGTTCTTCTGGAGAACCACTCTGACACCTTTGTGACAGAGCTAAAGGTGAGGAAGATGCCAGGAGGTGGATGAGGATCTTTTGTTGTCTTCTTTTTTGGGGCAGTGTGCACAGTTCAGAAGAGGAAAGAGCTTTAATGCTGTCTGCAGATGTGTCATGTCTCCCTATGACCACCAGGGGTCAGCGAGGTCATTTAAAAGAGTGTTTGAAAGGAAATAATCAGTTAATCATTGAAGGAACATAAACATTTTATATTAACTCAAATTTTTAGCATTTAACATTTAACAAAAGAGATTTAGGATGATTTGTTGACTGTTTTTTCGTGTGTTTTTAAATTCTACATTTAAAACAAGCTCCTACCTTCAGCTTGTTCACTTGTTTAACGTAATATTTGTTTTGTCTTTCTCTACAGAAACTTGAAGGTTCTCAGATCAGCCTCCTGGCCCTGGCCTTGTTCAGACAGGTCACCTGTCGCTACAAGTCACCTGATGTCAAAATACATCCCTCCAAACAGGTAAATGTCTGACTTAATCATTTATGTGTCTGACTAAAAAAAACGTCGTATATTTAATGTCCATCTACAGTTTTCTGATGTGTTGCACTCTGAATTTACAGGACACAGCAAGGCTGGAAGAGCTCCTTGGAAAAAACATCAAATCAGGGGAATTCAGGAATTTCTGCACTTCACTTCTTTCCAGTCACATTGGCGGACCACATTCACGTCTCCATATAAGCCAGAACCTGCCAGCTCAGAGGCAAACCCTCCTGGAGCTGCTGGTCCATCTGGTCTCTGTGCTCCTCAGTGAAAGTCCTCTGCTCGTTCCTCTTCGTCAGATAGCCTTCCAGCCTGAGAACGTCACAGTAAGACACTTCTTACAGTCACTTACACTATTTTTTTGTCCCACCCTGCTAGAGTAGCTTTGCATGACTCAAGGCTCAAAATAATCATTATTTATTTGATGCTAAGCCTTGACTCTATCTGGAATATTCACTCTGCCTTCCTCTAGAGCAGCGGTCCCCAACCCCCGGGCCTCGGACCGGTACCGGTCCGTGAGTCGTTTGGTACCGGGCCGCGAGAGTTGAGGCTCAGGTGTGAAATGTCTGGTTTTCAGGGTTTTTATCAGTTTTCAGCGTTATTTTGTTATCGTTTTTATCATTAACTCGGTTTTCCTGGGTCTTTTCACGTGTGTTATGAATAAATCTTCTTTTTTCGGTACCGGTACTGGTTTTATTTTGTTGTATTTATCCGCGACACCTTAAAGGCCGGTCCATGAAAATATTGTCGGGCATAAACCGGTCCGTGGCGCAAAAAAGGTTGGAGACCGCTGCTCTAGAGGCACAGGCAGAAAAAACAGAGCAGCATGAATCCTGAGCCTTCAGCTCTCAGGGATTATTTGCACTTACAGTGACCTTATTGTGGAAACTTGAACCATGTTTAATGTGAGCGTCCACCATTGGAATATTGTATACAAAGGAAGAATAAATGTCAGTTTACATGGTTGTTTCATGTCTTCTGGATAACCTGAGAATGACATTTGAATTTTCTAAAACCAGGAAATAAAAGATTCAGTTAAGTTTCATTATGTTGAATGTAGGATGTTGTTGTTTTTGTTTTTTAAGGGAAGAGTAACTGCAGATTTTTAAATTGTCTCGTGAGGTCATACATTTCTGTCCATAAATTTAGCTAAATGATAAAATTCTGAGGAAGAGGATAAAATTAACTCAGTTTCCTTCTTCCCGGCAGAACGCCTTCCTGCCGACCATGCCGGATGATCACACAAATGAAGCCAGACAGTGGTTGACAGGCGAGATCAAACTACAGACCTACAGTGAGTGATTCACATTCTGAAGTTTGTTATTTTAGTTACTGACTCTTTCAAATCTGTCTTTTTTTTCTCTTTTTTCTCATTTTAGCGTGTGCCAACGGGCATGTGTGTTTTGTGGGAGAGGTATGAACTATTACTCTTTCCTTAATGCTTGAATTAAAAGTAAATTATTTAACAAGTAAAATACTTCAGATTCAACAAAGCAAAAACAAAATTAACCAAAATTTATGTGCTGTCCCATAGTGTGGAAGACCAATGGTTACATCGAGATGTCACTGTGGGATGCCAATCGGTGGAGTAGGACATGTCCCAGTGTCTGGATTTACACAGCACACAGTGCAGGGGTATTTCTTTGTTCGGTTAAGCAAACTTGTTACAGTATTTGTCAAATATCTCTCTATATGTCTAATATCTGCTTTCCTCCATGTTTGTGTGACATGTCAGAGATCAGACGCGTACAGGACACATTTTAGGAGAAGCTCATCAGCGCTCTGAAGCCCCAGAAAGGCAGATGACGTACGCTCAGTCCTGCGTCCTGCGGCTGCTCACGCACCTCGCCATGCTGCAGGGTGCCATAAAAAATCAGAGAGTGAGAATTTACCTGAGCGTGGCTTTGCATATCTGTGGTTTTAAAGGCTTGCATCATGTGATAATACTCCTGTTTTTTGGCGGGGGTGTTTGTAGGAAGTCGGTGCATTGATCCACCCCACACCGAATGATGTCTTTAAATTCCTGTGGCAACATCTTGAAAAGGACATGAAGGTTTTGGGGAAGACTCTGGATCAGAACATGGACAACACAGCGATTACAGTTCATCTGATTCTGGCACGATTCCCTGCAGGTGATACTGACTCGACCGTGATTGTTAACATGCTGCTTGTAATGTCGCTGTAGAACAAACGTGTTTTAACTGTGCTGAACGTCAACAAAGGTTCCCGCAATGCAAGACCCGATCTGTCCTCCAGACAGAGGCGGGAGCAGTGGGAGAAGCTTGTTTGTGATTCTGCCATCAGCCCAGTGCTTCAGGTAAGGAACACGATGTTTTTCAAAGACATGAAAAGACATTTTGTGCTTCAGAGTGATAAAGTTTTGTTTCTTCTGCCTGTTTTCAGGATTTGCAGAAAAATCTGGCTGAAGCTCAGAACAGAATTGGAGCTGATGATGGACTTGCTGGAAGCCCTTTGCTAAATCTCCTCTTTGGGGATCCTGGGAAAATGCTGTCGTCCTCCTCTAACTGCCCGACACACCGCTCGTCCTTCTGGACTCTACCCGAGATCGTCACAGTGGAGCGTTTTTCTCAGTTGGTGGAAGAAAAACAGGGACAGAGTGCTTTACGTCTCCTCAGCTTGTTTCTTAAGAAGGTATCAGCCATCATCAGGCCGATGTGCACCACATTTCACAGATTTTACCTTAACAGATCAGGTACAGTGAGGATGGCACAACTCTCCCCTAAATTTCACTGAAATCTGCTGAGGAGTGTCAGAGAAATCGTGCTCAATATCAGAAAAATTCAACTAAGAAGAAAATATCAGAGGTGATCCTGAACGCTTGTCTGTCACAGTAGTTTAGCTGATGATCTGACACACAAACAGAGACAAGATGTGCACAAACACAGAGGGAGAGGGCACAAGACCACAGCAAACAGCACCGGAGGAACAAGACCGCTTTTAATAAGATAGCAGAACAGTGGTTTGCTATATTATTGAGTCAGCATGTCAGCATCAAGCTAAGAGTCAAAACAATGTGACTACGCTTTGAGGGCGTTGCATATTCAGCGGTTAGTTCTACACTGAATAAACAATGTCAGGCCTCCTCTTCCTCCTGTTACTCTAAACTGTAAAGCCCTTGTACTCTTTCAGTCTCTTCGATTTATGGCTTTACTCAGACTCAGGCTGCACTATGCAAACAGTGGAGAGGACTTTCAGATGAGAGGTGAAACCTGAAAAAAGTCCAGTTATCTTCAGATCAAATGCTTAACACCACAATGGCCTGGATGACTGAGAACATACACAGGAAAGCAAGCCTTGAATATTAATGCCCATTGCATTAACAGGCTTTACACAGTATTTCCCACGTTTGCTGTTAGGGTGTTGAATCATAGCACTGATCTCTGTGCAAAGATCAGGTAAAGACCTGACAGCATTACAGAGAGAAACCCAACAGTTGTCTTTGAGCGACAATGGGGAGTAAAAAAAACCCCAAAACTCTTTTTTAATTGGAAGAACTGTGTGAAGCAGCTTAAGGCGGGGCAAAGGGGGAAAAGAAAGCATATGCCAAAACGTTAAGGACAGCAACAACAAGAGCATACTTCTGCAAAGGCTGAAAATCCCCCCACACCATTAAGTCTCTGAATCCAAAAGCATATCTGGATACGGATGTTTTTGTAATGTTTTGTTGGGAACATCAGGAGGATGTCTCTAAATGCGTCCTATTGGGCTAAGCCCCATATCCAGAGAAGCTTCGTGCATATCCATTTATTTATTATTTATCACCTGGCTAACAAACAGAATCGACTGCATAACCTCCTTGTCTCGGGGGATAATAACATTCTCTGATGTTGGTGGAGACATTAACTTGCAGAAGAAAAGCTGACGCTGGCTTTGTGTGTTTTTCCCAGATTCACTGTGTGCGGCAGTTACATCACCTTCCCGAGCTGGCTGCTTTACAGTCTGACCTGCTGAGGGTGTTTCCTCTGGCGTCACACTCCACACCGCAGACGATTGCGCAGAGGTTACAGCAGATACCAGCAGGTACATCGGCCTTTCATCTGTGACTGATCAACACCAGCAGCAACATAACACAGACTCAAACTGAATTCTTGTGTCATCCTCACTAGGGTACCAGAAGAAGATGCTGAGTGAGAGAGTGGGCAGATTCATCAGAGTGTGGAACTCCCTCAGAGCAGAGGTGGCAAACAACTGTAAGCATCTGCATGTCTGCTTTAAACCCAAGCAACGAATCTCCATCTGATGATTATCAGTGTTGTTTCTTTTATATTATATTATAAACTGAATGCATATCCACCAATTTTATATATAAAAAATAACACTTTATCAAGCAAAGTCTCATTTAGAGTAAACATAAAGATGTAACTATGTCCAGATGTGCTTAATGTGTATAATAGAAAAATAATCACACACTGGCACATATTTAAACATATTTAAAGCTCAGTCACATGATTACTAAAAAGAAGTGAAAGGATTCTTGGAGTGTTTATTGAGTGTCAGAGCAGTTTTCAGTTCCAGCACAGTGTTTAATATAAACAGTGGGAAGTCTTCAGTGTTTGCTTTCATAATATTTAGTTAAACGGTGGAAACATTACATTTTGACTTTTATTTTGGAAAATGAAAACCTCAGGTACAGATGTGTTATTTGATGTCAACATGGTTTGGGTTTAGAGTTCGTATTGTTATGGAACGGCTGTGTGCAGACAGGAATAGGACCCAAGGTGCAGACACTCGGAGGCAAAACTTGAACTCAAAACAGCTTTAATGTTAAACTCAAATATAACATAAC